ACTATCATTTCCATTTCAGGTTTATTTTGGTTAATATAATTGTTATTTTCAGCTACTCATTTTCAATTCTTCTTTTTTAGTTGTTTCAGGGATTTCAAATCATTTTATATAGTAGACAATGGAAGTCCGAACTAGTGAAATTCATCATGAAACATTGTCAATCACCTTCAAACAAACAATGACCTGAAAAGTTATTACACATCTGTAAATTGTTCATCAAAATACAGATTGGTTGTGTAATTTTCATACAAATGGTACAAATATTCATCATGATTTTACCCTTCGAGTTCATTGTATAATGAATTATTGTTATAAGTGCCACCACAAATCCATCCCTTCGATTTTGGAGACGAATCTGTCGATTCTGGTGACATGGCTATTGTGAATTGTGCCGTGATCAGAGGAGATTTGCCAATCGCTATCAGTTGGACTCTCAACGGACAAGCAGTTTCAGAAATAGATGGAATCAATGTTGTGAAAACGAAACCGAGAGTGAGCCAATTGAGTATCGATGTTGTTCAAGCGTACCATGCAGGAGAGTACAAATGTACTGCAAAGAATCAGGCTGCAAATACAAGTTCAGAAGCAAATTTACGCGTGAATGGTATATTTTTGTTTCATCAATTTTACATGTGAATTTCTTTTGTGAAAGTCTCGTTTGCTTTTTCTAGTTCCTCCCCAAATTCATCCTTTCGATTTTGGCGATGAAGCAATCAATTCTGGGGAGCTTGTGGTCGCTATGTGTGCCATATCTAAGGGCGACTATCCGGTCAAATTAACTTGGACGTTGAATGGTCGAAGTATCAACAATTTTGACGGTATCACTACCGCCAATACTAACAAAAGAGTGAGTCAACTGACCATTGAATCCGCCCGAAGCCAACATACTGGAGAATATACATGTATTGTAGAAAATTCAGCTGGTGTTGCCAAACATTCCGCCTATTTGAACATCAACGGTACTGATAAAGCAGTTCAGATTTTGAATAACTCACATATACCTTCTCATCCCTAACCTTTACATGCTCGGTATGATTTTTGTCTTTGACATTTCGATTACCAGGGTTGGTAAAGAGTATACACATTCTAAATTCAGTTAAAGTAATCCCCACCTTCT